GGGGGCGGCCGAACTCCCTCCCTTGCAACCGCCGGCTCTCCCCGCGCCCTCGGGGCTCCGGCGTCCTCTCTCAGCAGCCCTGCTGCTTCCCCCTTGCTGGCTTTCTGCAAAAAAAAGAAAGAGCCACGAAAATTAGAAACCCTATTTCTCGGTCTTAAGGGTAATAATGTCAGAGACGAAAGCAACGCGACCTGCCACCGCGTAATTCCTGAGGTCGTCTGTGGGCTTTTAAGTACGGATTTGTTTTTTGCTTCCTCCCCCAAAGGCCTGAAGGGTATGTTTCCACTTTCAGAAATTCAAACCGAAGCAGCGCTGGTGAAGAACGGACATGCTCGGCACTTGTCTGCAGTTGCTTGTGTTGTTCTACGTTGTTAACCTGCAAAGGAGATACTGAGACCCTCTTATTTTCATCCTTGAATTCTTCTTGGGTTATGATATAACTGTAATAATAAAGCACAAGCTGCGGAAAGAGCACCTGGGAACTGAGCATGGTAGGATCTTGAACAAAAGTAGCTGGTATCGACGAAAAGAGGAAGGGAAGGAATGGCATCCCGAGAGAGGCTGTATGAGCTTTGGATGCTTTACTGCAGTAAGGTAAATATTTTGAGGGGGTTGTTTGTGTGTCTTTTTCCTCATTTATTTGGAAGTCGGGTATCTTGTAACAGCTTTCGATACATTTTCTTTGTTCTTAGAAGTTACATAGACTTGTCTAGCTACTGTAAGGATGTAACTGCACTTAAGACTGTTTATAACCTCTTCGAGTTGCTGTTCAGGTTGGGCTGTTTTGCCTGCAAGGTGTGATTTGCACAGTGTTCGTGGCTCGGCTTAAGCAGTTATTGTAGCTATATCTTAACTGTGTGAATGCACATGTCCACATAATTCTTTCATTTGTAGTGCCATGATATTAAGATGCATTCATTTAATTCACTGCTGTCTAGTATTAAGCTTTATGCTTACTGTTTTCTGTGCAGCTCAGGTTTCATTTAAACTCTATTAGCAAAAGCCTTCCCAAAGAGCAGATTTATTAAGTTACTCCTGAGTCTTCTTTTGCTGGTTATCACCATAACGTCTAAGTAATATGTTAATAATAATGAATTTCCTTGAGCTGGCAGGACTGTTATGAAAATATTGTTCAGTCTCCATTTGTATTTTACAGTGTAAAGCAATTCATATGTCTAAAGCACAGGTCCTAATTGCCACCGGACATGCGGAGTATGTACACAGAGTGAATGGTAGATTATCTAAATAGATATCTATATAATAAGGAACATACAGAAAATAACTGTGAAGGCAGAGGGAAGGACTGGCCTACAATCATACAGGAACACAGTGGCAAGGGTAGCTTTTGGTGGCCTTATTCTATGGTTTTGTTTTGCCTTTTCTCTTTGTAGTCTCATGCTTTGTGTGTGTTACAATTTAACTCTTCAAACCAGTAGGACATTACAGGTAGAACAGACATCCTCTTGTTCTTCTTCCCAGTTCATTTTTAGAGAAGGCCCATCTCAAGAACATAGAATGTGAGATTTTAAGTACAGACCATCTTAACAACCCAAGTGCATAAAGCAGTGGATGAAGGTTGCACAAAGTAGTCTTAATTGTAGCTTTTCTTAATTTTTGTGTGCACGTTTTCAACCCTAATGCACTATGTGATGTCAAAAAGAAAACTAGTGCAAACGTAATAGCATGGTATATCTTCTTATAGCTACCTGCGTGGGTGATCTTTTGGGTTGAAACATATTTGCACAGACCTTTGCCTTTTAAACTAATGTAGTAATGCCAATGGCAGGAGGAAATGGACTAGCACTGGAGGAGATGGATGTTTTGCCAGTGAGTTCATCGATGTGAGAAGAACAAAGACGTTTGGAGCAGACTACAAGAATCCAGGCTTTCCTCAGCTTTGGGAGACACAGGGCTGTAGAGATGAGCCAAGCTCTGAATTCCTTTCCGCAGCCGATCTTTGTCTCTTTCCTCCCTAGTTCTGTATAAAATTATTTTGTCTGTCTTCTACCTTCTCCCCCTTTGCTGGAATCTTTCTTTCCATCTCCATGTTGTCCGGATGATAGCAGGAAGTTTGCATAAATAAAGGAGTGCTAGTTAAAATGTATGCTTTAGTTCACTTAGAAGGTGCTCAGTTTCTTTATAGGAATGATGTGTATGCAGTCTACTCAGTACTCAGGTGGTGGAGGCTGGACTCTTAAAAAAAAAAACAAAACAAAAATAAAACAAAACCCAAAACTTTTTATATACTCGGACTCCATGAGCTGTTAGTGACTTTTTTGGCCTTTTTTCTTCCAGGCTTATATTAAGGGCACAATTAGGTGGATTCATATGTTGATAAGGACTTGTTCTGAGATTTGATTTTATTTTAATTTTTTGTAATAAAAGTTTGAAGGCAACTAGAATGACTCCAAAACAGGAGTTGTCTTCGCTTTTTAAAAAAGTTCTAGACACAAAACTGGTTTTTCCTCTTCTTTCTCTCTCAACTGGTTCAGGTTAAAATGATATCTCTTCCTGCTTGAGGCAGGCAGCCAGTGTAACAGCGTTTCATCTTGGATTAAGTTTGGTGAAGTTAGGAGCAAGTGGAGAAGCTAGGTTTTAGGATGTAAAATGTTGTGAAGCCATAATGTAAGTTAGATTGTTCAGTCATGTATTGAGAACATCTGTGTGCTGTACTTTGTTCTCCTCGGGGCATCTAGCACAATGGGAAGGTGTAGCAATAAATAATCACCAGTGACAGGTTAGAGTGGTTTAGGGAGAAGTCTCTTTATACCTGGAACTGCCCAGTGAAGTGCAGTATCATATCCTGTATGTTGCACTGTCATGACTTTGTTGTGGCTGACATTCTGGGAAGGAAAGCTAGGCAATTTCTCCACACTAGAAAAACTGCTAGAGTCGTGGTTGAGTAAAATGGGAATTTGTTGTGCCACAAATCCTGAATATGTAGCTTTAGCTTTTGCAGCCTTGTTAGCGAAAGAAATGGTAAAATCCAAGCCCCTTTTTTGTGTGATGCTTCAGATTGTTGCAATAAGTAGCCTTGTTTGTCTTGCCTTTTTTTAGATCATCAGGTCCTTCGTGATAGTATGTTAAATATAGCACCCTGTGCTACAGTGGCAAGGCTTTTCGGCTTTAAAGTGATGTATAATGCTGTGTTACCATCTTACCATCTATCCTGAGTCATGATTCTTGTTCTCTCTGATCACTTGACATCTCTGACAAGGTCGGGTGCCGTTGAAACAATCACTTTGTGCAAAGTAACATTAAGAGGGCATTTCTCTCTTTTTCATTGCCTCCTGTGCAGTTTAGCAATTGGAGATCTGGACAGGCAGCAGTATGTAACTAAGATCTCTGCAGAAGGGGTCTTTGGATGGCATCATGTATGAGGTGGTTTATTTTTCTTTTTTTTCATCCTTTTAACATTATGTTTGAGTGGCTGCAGAAGTTCATTTTTAGTTGGTATTCATTTGTTTTTCATCTGTCAGTTTCTAATCTAAGGCTGGGGTTCAGTTTTGGATTTGTTTTCCTGCTTCTGTTCCTCTGAAAGCTATCTTGTAGGGCAATAGCTACAAAGCTGCAGAGTACAGTCTGCTGTTTAAGATGCCCAATGAAATTGAAGCCACACATGATTTATTGCATGAAAGCAGCCTAAAAATTCATTAAATTTAGTGAAGTTCAGATGTGAGTCACAGCATTATATTGTTAATAGTAAGAGCTGTTCCTGCTTTGAGTTTTTTGTCGGGTTTGTTGTTGGTTTTGGTTTTTTTTTTTCTTTTTTTTTAAAAAATGAAGATGTCAAACTTTCTGCAAAAAAAAGCATTGCTGAGGATGCAAATTGCTGTCATGTTTTTTGATGATTTTTAGTTTCAAGTGGTTGTTTTGGTGTTTTTTTCTGTTCAATTCTCTGTTAATGTACAATGCTGTTATTCACTTGAATATTGGTATGGATGTAAAATGGTGTCCTCTCATCCAAATGCAGGAATGTGTGCATTCTAAGATAATGGAATTACATGTAGAATAGGTAACATGGGTCCTTTCTATTGAAGTCATTAGGAAAATTTTTTTCCAGTAAATTAGGTAGACAATGGGAGTATCAAGCATATTGATTGTCAGTTCAAAGCCTTCAATAACCTACACAGGAGCATAAAACAGTTCTTTATATAAGCAGCACATATGCAGCAGATACCTGAAAAAGCTTTACTAATGTAAATGTACAGCAGAAGATCTCTGTTGGGTGAACCGAAGGGGGCTGGAAAAAGGACATGCTTTCATGTGTGTCTGTGACCTTTTCATGCTCATGTGACTGAGGTAGTCTCTACCAGTTTGTCTTGCAGCCTTAGACCAGCACGGCTGTAATAATATTACTGTAGTAATATTAGTTGATTAACCTTTTATTAGATATTAATTATGATCAGTATACAAAATTAATTCATGTTTTATAATACTCAGATGTCCAAGTGGAGAGCAGTGATGAGTGGTGTTATTCAGGGGTTGGTATGGGCACAGGTGCTGTTTTAACATCTTTGTTGGTGAGATGGTCAGTGGATCAAGTGCACCCTCAGCAGTTTGCTGATGACACCAAGCTGTGTGGTGCGGTCAACATGCTGGAGGGAAGGGATGTGCCATCCAGAGGGACCTGGACAGGCTGGAGAGGTGGGACTGTGCAAACCTCATGGAGTTCAACAAGGCCAAGGTCCTGCATATGGGTTCGGGCAATCCCAAGCACAAATAAGGGCTGGGCAGAGAATGGATTGAGAGCAGCCCTGAGGAGAAGGACTTTGGAGTGGTAGATGATGGAAAACTGACTGTGAGCAATGGGCACTTGCAGCCAAAAAGCCAACCGTATCCTGGGCTTCATCAAGAGAAGTGTGGCCAGTAAGTCAAAGGAGGGAATTCTCCCCCTCTATTCTTGTAAGAACCCACCTGCAGTGCTGTGGGCCCCCAACAGAAGAAGGACATGGACCTGCTTGAGTGGGTTCAGAGAAGACCATGAAGATGATCAGGGGCTGGAGCACCTCCCCTGTGAGGACAGGCTGAGAGAGTTGGGGGTGTTCAGCCCAGAGAAGAGAAGGCTCCAGGGAGACCTTATAGCGGCCTCCCAGTGCTGAAAGGGGCTACAGGAGAGATGGGGAGGGACTCTGCATTAGGAAGGGTAGGGATAGGACAAACAGTTTTAAACTGAAAGAGGGCAGATTTAGATTAGATAGAAGGAAGAAATTCTTCCCTGTGAGGGCAGTGGGACACTGGCACAGGCTGCCCAGAGCAGCTGTGGCTGCCCCCTCCCTGGCAGGGTTCAAGGCCAGGTTGGACGGGGCTTTGGGCAACCTGGGCTAGTGGAAGGTGTCCCTGCCCATGGCAGGGGGGTGGAACTAGATGATCTTTAAGGTCCCTTCCAACCCAAACCATTCTATGAAGTAACTGTTACTGCAGATTCAAATTAAAGGATTTTAATCTCTATGTAAGATTTTAACTATATTTAATCTCCTCAAGTTGTTCTGATAGGTATTTCAGATGCTTAGACATAAAGTGTGTCAGGATTTCTGAAACTTCTGATATTTTTGATTTTACTCAGAAAGCAATCAAATACCATTTTATATGGA